AATCGGAAAAGCGGAGGCGCTGCGGCCGAATATAGATGCGGTATATCTACCGCCATTCTTTTCGCCGGGGACTGTACCAACATTGAAAAGATGGGTAAATTTTCGCCGTACACAACGTCAACCTGCTTCTTTGCATCAAAATATGTAGCAAATAGATGCTTAGAACAATTACAACTGAATCATAAAAAGTATCTATTTGATTTTATCAATAATGCAAAGGATATAACACAATTGGGAGGCTTTCGTGGAACATTATTTGAAATGGTCACAATACAATAATTCGTCAAGGGGGAGACTTTCGAGTACGTGAACTCACAGATGATGGTACAGGATCTGAAGCTATTCATAGTTTTGATTCTCTAGAAGAAAAATTTTTTGATAATGTTAAGGAGAAACAAGGACGAGTAAAATATTTTCGAAAGCATAGATAGTTATGCTCATCCAAATAATCTATTTCAAGTTACCATTTCTAAGAAGCATAGTATAAAGCAAGATGGATTGAGAGCGATAAAGGATATCTTAGATGAAAATTTTGGCGTCAAAATATACTTTGTCTTACCAAGAGAAATATTTGAAACATTCAAAAAAAAAAAAAAGTCTTATGGGGAAGGAAAGGTATTCGACCATTGGGTTTATAACATAACACAGTACGCATTGTGCGTAAACCTTGAATATTAACAAATATAATTTTTCCTAAAATTATTTTAAATTTGAAGAGATTTATAAAAAGAATTATTAGAAATATTAAGTGTAATAAGATATAGTGTCGAGTTTAAAGATAATTTTAGCGTATTTATCAAATAACAGGCAAAAAAACCATTAAAATTATTTCTTTAATTTATTATTATATATTAGTTTTATAGTAAATCTATTTTGGATATTTAAATATGCCAATTTAAATCTAATTTTTTACATCATTAAGTATTATTATAAAATTACTAGTAAAATCTATTAAATAAAGTAATAATTTTGCGAGAAATTATTTTATAAAAAAAAAAAAAATAAACAAAAATTATATGAAAAATTTATTTATGATTCAAATTACGTGTTCAAAACCGAAGAAAAAAAAAAAAAAAAAAAATCTAATAAAAAACACATTTGAAAGAAATACTTTTAATTAACAAAAAAAATTATAGATAATTAGATCAATTAAATATGTAATAACTAAGTTCAAAAATAATTGAACGATTAAACAATATTATAATATTAAGGAATGTATACAAAACTTATTTAAAAAAATAATAATAACTAATAAATTTCTCTTCTATCAATCATAGATATTTTTTTAAAAAAGCATTCTATTAAATAATAATAAAAGTTCAGATATGAAATTTGAGAGATAATAATTCATTGTTTGTTGCCTTGAATAATGTTAACCAACCTATATAAGATTAAAAATATTATATAGATATATATTTTTTTTTAATATTGGCTTATTGATTAAAATAATCAATATTAAATGAAAAACTCACCAATCTAATCCTTCTGTTAGACCATAGCCTTTTACAGCACTTGTTTTATAAATACTCCATTGTCTATTCTTTAATGTACCTAAACCTAGCGCATCTGATACTTCCGCTGCAGTCATCGCTCCTCCCATATCTTGTTTATTGGCAAAAACTAATAATGCGGCATCCCGTAATTCTTCTTCATCAAGCATTGCGTGAAGTTCCTCTTTTGAAGTGCCCATACGATCACGATCTACAGAATCTACGACGTATATGACAGCATCGGTGTTTGCATAATAACACCGCCAATAGGGCCTTCAATGAAAAATAATATTAGAATATTAGAATGAATTACATCGTTATAGATTACAACTAATATCACTAATTGAAAACTCACCTTATACTTGTTTGACCTTATTATAAACAGATAAAAGTTATCAATAAATTAATTCAATTTATTAAAATCTTGATATTAATATTTAATAAAATTATAAAAATTTACCTCCTAGATCCCATACTAAAATAATAAACAAACAAAAATAAATAAGTTACTAGAAATAATACTACAATATATATAACGCATAATTACGAAATTCACCTTGAAATTTAATATTTTTATATGTTACAGTTTCTACATTAAATCCAATGGCTACATATCAAAAATTTCATATAAATGGTATTTAATATTGATCCGAAAAACTAGAATTCTATAAGAAAGTACAACCAAATAAATTAGATGTTGACTCAACTTACTCGGGATAGTTGTCACAACTTCCCCAATCTGGAAAAAAAATCACAATAAATGAATATTAATAAATAATAAATATAAAATATAAAGAATTCTCAAAGAATGAATCAATTAATAAGGAGTAAATTAGTTAAAAGCTCTTCTTGAGAATTTAGTCATTCATAAATAATAAGGATAAAAGATAAAAACCACCAAACCTACCTGCAACCGATATAGTATTGTCGTTTTACCAGCGCCGTCTAAACCTAAAATAAGTATTCGCACTTCTTTTTCACCCCACAACCTTCCCAACATTCGACTAAGTATTGCACCTGATTAGAAAGAAATAGGAAATCGCAGGAGTCCACACTGAAGTTAGCTTAGAGGATATGCTGATGAAAGAAGAAAAAATTAGATTTCATAGTTTAACCGAAGATAGCTTGATATTTACCCATTAGATCCTTGAAAGTTTAAATAAAGTATACGAATATATGTATATATTTATTTATATATCTCTAAATCTAAATTGACAAATGTAATAAATATCAAACTTTACAGATCTAAATTTTTTTTTAAAAAAAAAAGATTCAAAAAAAAGGGTCAAGAAATCTACCGTATCCGGAAATACAAATTTAAAATATAATGATCAAAACCACGTGTTAATTTTACAATTTTATTCCGAGGGTCAAAAAATTTTTTTTTTTAGAAATTAATTATATTAATTAAAATGTCTTTACAGGTTGACCCGATTAGCGATAAAACGCAGAAACATGTTCCGAAATGGAAGAAGTTATTATCTCTTAAAAATTCTAGTTCGGCATTACCAATAAAATACTCTCAAATTTCTACCTCTAAAAATGAGGGGGGGACGACTCATGATACTGATTCAGTTAAAATAATCGGAAAGAAGAGAAAGAAGGACAAGAATAAAGATGAAAAATCGGAAGAAGTGGAAAAGAAAAAAAAGGACAAACACGAAAAGAAAATACGAAAAGTTAATGAGAAAGAAAAGACTAAATTAAATAGTAATGATGGTCACGATGGAAATGGAAATTTGTCTAAACAACTTCCGAAAGTAATGACTGATGATTCAACATTGGTATTGGCAATCGAGCAAACAAATTTGAAGGTACCAGAAGAATTTACACATGCTGCCAAAACAGGTTCGTTATTAACAAGTTTGATTTTTAAAACTATATTAATTACCGAACTTTATTTTTTTTTTAGGGTTAAATTATCTTTTAATTTGGCGGTTTCTAAAAGAAAAATGGAAATTTCAAAAAGTACGTCAAATTTGGCTACTCAAAAACGCTTATAATGAAGATTTGGTAAGTTATTTATTGTCAATCATGTCGATATATATATTACCAGCTAACTTAATCATCTTTGATCTTGTAGTTTTCGGATGAGTTTTTCAAGGTATTCTTAGAATACATCGCGGAATTGTCGGGAAAATCGCGACATGTAAGTTTACAAAAATTTCGGGCAAAGTGTCGCCCTTTTATTTTAGATATCCGAAACTGGTTCATATTACCATAAAGTTGCCCAAAATTCCGAATTTCGATTTCGCTCAAAATATTTTATTAATTTGTAAAAAAATTTTTTACATGAACTTAATTAGACTACACTTAAAATGGCTCAGGATATAGTCAATAAGTTCGAATCGGAAGCGGATGGTACAATTGGAGAGCAAGAGGGTGATGAGAAAGTTGATCAAAAGGATGTAAAAAGGAACGAACAAATCAAGTTAAATAGAGCAAAAGCTGTAGTGAGAGTACTCTCGTAAATAAAAAAATTCTTATTATTTGTATTACAAAAAAAAAAAAAAAAAATTTAATTGAAAAGTCAAGGGTAAGAATAAAATCATAACATTTAATAATATAAAAAATAATGTTCAAAACAAATGATCTTTTCACTGTTTTCGCACAAAAATTTATATTCAAAGATATTAAAACCCCTTATACATGAAAAAAAGTTACATCATAAATAAATCCCCTTTTCTTTTTGGCATAAGATTTATGTTTTCGAGCAATTCAATATGTTAGATACAAATCATAAAATATCGATATGATAAAAAAAGAATATATAAAATAAAGATAAACAAAAAATTTAAATTATTTATAATGAATTGTCCATGGTTTGGTGGCTCGTTCGCTAGCCCGTTGTCTTTCCAATTCCACTATGTCATTCTCCATTTCAATTACCCCAGCAGTCAATATTTTTACAGTATCTAACCAGAGATAATTCCGTCGATCTAATTGATTTCTTACTCTCTTTGCAAATTGCTCCATCTTGGTAACATATTCTACAAATTCATCGTGATTAAACGAATGGTTGCTTAATTTTGGAATTTGATCAACTACACCCTTCTGCAAAGAATTTGGTAAAGGATTATTTACAATCGAAGCTGATAAACCGGTGGTTCCATAAGGTAATGTTGGTAAAATGGAATAGGGTGTATTAGGATTACGGTCTTGTGTGGGTGTATTAGTTGTAATTCCGGGAATACTGGGAGTGTTAACGGGAATAACAGAAAACTGACGAACAAGTTCCGGGTGTTTGTTGATTGCAAATCTTTCCCAATATGAATGAATTTGCCGAGGAGTATAATTCTTCATGATCCCTTTACTTCTCAGTAATTGACGTAATTGAATAGGATTCAAATGAGTGTTCTCCTCGATTTCCTTTCTGCATTCGTCACTAATGTCAGAATTAGAAACTGGCCTATTATGAAGAAGACCGTGATGAATCTCTAACATCGCTTCGGCAGCAGGCATATCGATTTTCATCTGCATCTTTCCTTGACAAGGGAATCGTTCCATTCGTTTCCTATTTGAACCTTCTTTGTATTCCTTCATGGCAACCACGGATTGACTGCAGACGTAATAAAACTTTGCAACGTCCTTATGGCGCATTGAAGTGTTCATACAATTATAGCTTTAATATAGTATTAAAAAAAAATCATTTTTTTTTTTTTTTTTTAAGGCTATGTAAAACTTAATGTCAAGGAATTAAAATAGTAATAATACGATTAAACAAAAGGAATGATACTTACGTCCAGTTATATTCATCAGCTCTCTCTATTTCTTCCACAATCCAACGTGCGATGTCTTTAGGGTGTTCGTTACCCGAAATGGTATTAGCGAGGTTTAGGGCCACTCGAAGGTCTAAAGAACAAATTTGAGTTCCGTCAGGAGCAGTAGGAGGCGGGTTGTTAATTAAAGCTCGCATTTCGGCAGAGACGAGGGCTGCCAGATCCATGAGACCTACAGTTCGAAGAGAAACTCGTAAGGGCTCTTCCTCAACAGCCTCGTCTTCGCATTTTCTTTTCGTTTTTTGTTTCTTGAGGGCCCTTTGTTCGATACAACTTTGGCATGTCTTCCACTTTTTGTTTTTGTGGAAAAAAGCCTCGTCTTGTTTAGTTTGATGACAGGATGTACACACCGGCATTTGTAGGATTTATGTAATTGGATATATCGCTGGGAACCAACCGCAAGGGAAAAAAAATAGTTATCAATACTATAAAAATCTACCGTAAGAATTGTGGAAAAAAATTTTTTTTTGGGAGGAATGTTGGGCAACAATGAAAAAAAAACCCAAAGATTCATCGACTGATTTAATTTATATCAAAAAAGCAGGGTAACAAAAGAGTGATACAAGGATTGTGACGCCAATTTCCGTAATCGGGATTGGCTGAATGTTACTTTACTGGATAAGTTTCCGGTTTTAAAGGAGAGATCCTCCGAAACTAACCGGAAGAACAGAAGTTTTTTTCGGATATCTTTCATAGACGGTAAAATTACTTTGTTGTAACAGGTTTCACTTGCTCGATATAATCATTTTTGTAAATATTTTCGTTACACATTCGTTTAATTTCTCCCACACATATCTCCCATTATTTTATCATCACCCATAAATTTTTCCCCATCGCACCAATTATATAATCTACCTGTCGTATTTCGGAAACCGGAAACTAGATTGGCTATCCGGCAAAAAATCTCTCAGGATAACAATTTTTATTTAGTATATTAACGGAGCAAATGACCGGTAAATTTATTTATTCCAAAATTAGATTTGATTTATAACGCTCAGTATCGTTTATTGCCAATTATATATATATCATCAAATGCTTTGAATCAAGGTTATATTATCTCCTTTTAATAAAATTCGACCTAATACAAAGGGATTTTAATACAAAGAAATTTAATTAGTAAACAACCAAATTAAACAAAATTTACATTGCGATTATAGAAAATTATACCCAAAGATTTTCGAGTTTTCTTCTTAAGATTCACCTCTTCTCCATTGTCAAGCACGAGGTTCATAAATTCGTCAAATCCCTAAAAATTTAAATAATTAAAAACGTTTCAAGATTATTTGATACCATTTTACTTCAACTTTAGGTTTTGGTGAATGATTTACAATAATTTGCCCTTCAATCCTCAAATCTACTTGCTCATATAACCAAATTTGAACTCGTGTTTTCTAATTAATCGAAAAGGGATAAGCAATATAAAACAACACACAATCATTTTTTACAACATACTTAACATACTTACGTTTTGAAGATACTTGAAGATCAAGTTCTATAAAATAGATTTAAAAAATATATATATATTCTTTAAATAAAAAAAAAAAAGGAAATATTATATATATTTCTTACTTACTATGGGTTGGACCATAATCTTCTGAACTTTAGTAGCCATGGTTGTCATGATTCAAAAAAAAAAAAAAAAAAAAAGCGGTTTGAAAATGCTCAAGTTAACTACGGTTTTGTTTTTCGAAGAACTCTATTTATATTTTCGTTTTGTGTAACGATAATAGTCACGTTGCGACTGCCCATCAATTTGTCGATCATTTATTACTAGAATAATTAATATTTCTTAAAAATTTAAAATAAAATTAACATTATAATAGTATTTTTTAGAAAAATTACTTTTTTTAATAATTTATTATATTTTTATATTTAAAATCATTAGTTAATTATTTTTTTTTTAATTTTACTTAGAAAATATTATAAAATTTATTATAAAAGTATTAATTTTAATAAATTATTTTAAAAATATTTAAAAATAATTTTAATTAATAAATAAAATTGTTTACAAATTTGTAAAGCAAAACTATTAAAGGAATAATTTAATATTAATAACTTTTATAAAAAATTTAGATAATATAATTTAAATATAATAATGACTAGAGAAATAGAAGCTGTTGTTAAGTTCAGAATGATCTTAACTAAAAAAATTCACATTGTTATTTGCTTTATCTAGGATTTTGTGTAATTAGAAAAGCTAATAAGCATTAATTCAATTATTGAATAGGTAAACACTAGTATTTTTTTATCATATATTGTCTTACACTTCATTCTAGATTAATTAATATATAGATATAATAAAAAATCTGAAAAAATTTCTATAAAATAATTTAATTAAATTAAATCAAATTAAATAATATAAAATAAAGACTTTTACTAATTTGCTCCTTAGGTAAAATTACTTATATAATATATAATAGGTGATAAATAAAATTTTTAGTAATAAAAATTTTCTAAGTTCTTCAATTAATTATTAAAAATAAAAAAATTAAGAAGTGTAATACATTGTAAAAATAAACTCTAATTTTAAATCTAAATTTAATAAATCCTAATTATGTTTAAACCTAACTCTAAATAATCCTAATTCTATAAATAGGTAAAATTTTACATATAATCAGTATATAAAATTTAAACCAAAAGTCATGTAAATAAGTTGTACTAAATTAATGCATGTATTATATAATATTTCTATTTTTATAAATAATTTATCAATTTTTATATATAATTTATCTATTTTTAGTAATTATTTATACATATTTTATGTTGTGTAATATGTGTATAAAAATATTTAATGTACAAATACAGTAGTCCACAAAAGAAACGCAAGTCCGTAATACAAATTAATGCTTATCATTTTAAATCACGTGGTTTCATCGTAAAATTATGCAAATAGATTTTTTAAAAGCTCTAAATTCAAGCTATTTATATATATAAATTTAAAATAAAGTTATATAGAAAATTTAAAAATTTTATTTAATTTAATGTTAAATAAAAAATTAGTAAATTTAATTATTTACTACCTTTTGTTATTTATTAATTATTATATTAAAACTATTTTAAAAAAAATATATAAATTTAAAAAAAAAAATATTTACAATAATTGTATAAAAAATAATTATATGAGACCTTTGCAATAGAAAGAGGGGAAATTGCCAGAAAAAATCAATTTTATTTTTATATACCAAATATGATTTTTAAGTCAAAATATGTTCAGATTTAGCATTAACTCAATTTTTATTTTTTCTAGCCGTTTCCTCCTTTTCTATTGTAAAGGTCCCATATATTAAAAAAAATATATATTAAAAAATATATATTTTATATACCCTACTATCTCGTATAATCACCTTTTTGGCTTAAAACATTATTGATTCGCTCTGGCATAGAATTTAATAATTTAATACAAACATTCATTTCGATATTATTCTATGTTGTTTGAATCATTTCCCAAAGTTCATTCTTATTTTTAATAGGCTTATCAATATTTCTTAATCGTCGTTCCATTTCACTTCATAAGTGTTCAATCGAATTTAAATCTGGTGATTGAGCAGGCTAATCTAATACGGTAATATTTTTACTTTTTAACCATCTTTTAGTTATTCGTACCTTATGTTTTAGATCGTTATCTTGTTGAAAGATAACATTTTCTATACTTAAATCATAATATGTTAAAGTTCTTAAGAAATCTTCATTTA